CGGTGCCGGTGGCGGTGGCGGTGGCGGTGGCGGTGGCGGTGGCGGACCCCCGCCGAGAGAGGGTCGAAACAAGGACCGCAGCGCACGAAGGGCCGGCACCGGACGCTAAGGCGCCAGAGCGGCAGGCTGCCTGCTAGGGACGGTGGATGGGATGCCCGCCGTTCGTGCTGGAGGACGTGGTTGATCTTATACGACGCACATACAGACGCCAGCGGAGGAAAGTCCGCGCTCGCCCGAGATATCAAGATATTGTCCCATCTCTATGGCAGGTCGTCTCGGGACTGCTCGGATGCAGTCGGATCGGACCGGCTCGGCTCAGTTCAGCTCGTGGTCGTGGTCGCCGGTGCCAGGTCGGCCGTCGAAGCCGCAGCGAATCGCCGACGCCGCGGTGACGGCTTAGATGCGGCACCATCTGCGTTTGAAAAGGGCCGACTCTTCGTCGGTCCACAAGCGGGCGATGCCAAAGTAGAGCCAGCGCTCGACGCGGTCGAGGACGAGGGCGCAGTCGTCCCTGAGGTCGTCGTCGTCGGCATCGGCCTCTTTCTCTTCGACATTGTCATTGATGACGGTGTCGTGGACGTCGAGCGGGGTCTCGATCCCCTGCTCTCTCTTGCTGACCGCTGTCGAATGGGCAGTCAGGATCTCTTGCAGTAGCGACTTGACGCATTCGACTCGGCGAAGCCACACGCTCGTCGCTGCTGCCTCTTGGTCGTCTTCGTCGTCGTTGGTGCCGTTATCGTCGCCGTTGTCTTGTCCTGTGCCCTCGCCCGCACCTTTGCCCTCGCCTTCGTCTTCATATTCGCCCTCGCCTTCGGCGTTGCCTTCAGCCGCACCCTCATCCTGGACGGCCGGCGCACCAAGGCAAACGCTGCGGTGTCGGTACTCGTCGATCAAATCGGTGAACCGAGACACAAATACGCGCATCCAAACCTCGAGGGACGTCTCGCACAACCTTTTGCCGCCGCCGCTGCCGTCGATGTCGTCGTCGTCTTGGCCATCGTCGCGACAGCAGACGAGACGCAGGCCGAAACGCGTGTAGAAGTTGGCGAGTTGCGACTCGAGCGGGTGCGGCCGTACCTCTTTATCCGCTCGGACCGGCAGGGTTGGGAGCGGAGACGCAGAGGGGGTGCGCAAGATCCGCTCTCGTCGTCGTCGGCGGCGGCGGCGGTGTGGCGGCGGGGGAGAGGGCGTGGTGATGCTTTCGTCGAATGTCGATTGCGGTTCGATGTCCCCGCATCGCCTCGGTGCATCGTCTTTCATCTCGTCGTCGTCGTCGTCGTCGTCGTCGTCGTCGTCGTCGTCGTCGTCGTCGTCGTCGTCGTCGTCATCCGACGAATCGCCGACGACCACCACCTCCTCCCCTTGCCCGTCGACACCAGCCTGGACGGCACGTGCCGCCTTCTGCTTGACGCGGCGATCGACGACGGTGGTGGTGTCTGACATTTTGCTCCGTTTGCGCTTGCCCAGCAGACGGGCGCGGCACCGGCGTCGCATCTGCACAAAGTTGTGGCAGTTGTTGGACCACGCTGCTTCGTACCACTCTAGCGGATCGATGCTTGGCTGTGCGTCTCCGATCAAAGGCGTCGTCGTCGCCGCCGCGGCAGCAGCAGCAGCGGCAGGGGGAGCATCGGGGATGGATTCGGCGGCCGGAGTCGTGAACTGCTCGTCGTCGTCGTCGTCGTCGTCGTCGTCGTCTTGGCTGTCGCTGTCGACGTTGATGTACACGGGCGACCCTGCATCGAGCGAGGAGGACGAGAAGGACGAGGAGATGGGGGAAAAGAGGGGTACGTCAGTACCTCTACAACTAGCCGTTCGCCGAAGACGACGTGGGCCAAGGTAGCGGCGGCGGCGGCGACGACTGACCGTCTCTTGGCTTCTTTGCTCGATGAGGCACACGGTGGCCGTTTCTCTTGTTGGTTGTTTTGGAGGGCGGCATCGTTTCGTGCGTCGCTGCGATGCGGAGGCGGGGATGTCGAGGATGGGGTCTACTCGGAGCGTTGGCCTGTTATCCGTCTCGATGGCGAGAGGAGGAGGGGGGGCATTGTAGCATCCACCCGTCGAGGCCCATCCCGTCGTGTCCTGCATCGACGCAGGTGCAGCTGCATCGCCTCGTAGCGCGCCATGGCGACCATGGTAAGCTCTTGCTCTGCCCGCGACTGACGCGGGGGAGGGGAACGAGGTTGTGCTGTGTGTGTGCGCGACGAGGCGGGACCGAGTGGGCGACGGTGGAGGCCGCCGGCTGGCGCCAGAGTTTGTTTGATGAGCACGACGACGACAGCAGCGGCGGTGGCGGCAACGACGACGAGGGCCTGGAGCGGCGTGGCGACGGATGTTGTGCGTTGGGCCCTTGGTTGAGGTTGAGGCAGAGGCAGATGTTGAGTCTGGCTGATGCTTGGTTGTTTTTTTTTTTTTTTTCCTGTGTGGCCTGACGAGGCTGGTAGCGTAGACGTGGGGCTGTGGTTGGCCTGGCCACTGTCTGCGAGCTAATGATGTATGCAGTCCAGGAGGGGGTGCGGTGGCCAGCAGGTTGGCGCGTCTGTCTGCTCGGGGTGAGGCCGACGCGGTGGCTGCGGCTTCAAGGCGAGGCTGGCGAGCAGTCGAGTAGCGCGGCAGCCGTAGGAGGGTGCAGCCGCCGCCTTGGTTCGGCTTCGGCCTCGGCCTCGGTTTGGGCCCAAGCCTTGTTGCTTGTGGAGGCAGGCGGGCGGCTTAAGGCCGACGATGGCGCGTTGCATTTCGGCGACCGACAGACGACCTGCCGGAAGCTGGCCTGGGACCTCTGGGCGTCTGGCTGTCGCGGCTTCGTCTTCCACCGGCCTCCTCCTCTCGCGACCTTCCTCTCCGGCCACCACCACCACCACCGCCACCACCACTTGTTTGCACTCTGCCACTACCATCACCACCGCGCGCGCGCACACACACGCACACACCATGAGCCACACCGTCCTCCTCCTCGGCGCCACCGGCTTCGTCGGCGGCCAGATCCTGCACAAGCTCATCACCTCTCCCCTCTCAGGCCCGGACTCGCCCTCGGTGGGCACCGTCATCGCCCTCGTCTCTGGCGCATCAAAGGCGGCCGCAGTGCGATCCTGGGAATCCTCGCTCCGCTCCCGGTCCACCAGCACCGTCCTACAGATCGAGGACGTGGACCGTTCCACCCCGCAACACTGGTACAACGCCGTCGAGCAGTGGAGCGCCAACGTCGACTGCGTCATCAACGCAGCCACCAGCGACGACCTCGACCTCACAAAGGCCATCAACGCCGGCATCATCAAGGCAAAACACAACGGAAGAAAGGCTACCCTCGTACACCTCAGCGGCGTACAGCTCATCGAGAGCCAGCCCGTCGGCACCTATGTAGAGACGCCAAACTACAACGACGCAGACGCCAAACAGATCCAGAGCATCGCCGACTCTGCCGCACACCGCCTCATCGACCTCGAGTGAGTGGGCTACCCCTTTTCCATTCGCCTTTTTCCATCGTCCCCGCGCCTGCTCACCCTCGCGCGTCTTGCCTCGTCTCTCCCCTTTTGCCCGCTCCTCCACCGCCTCCCGCCACCCTCACAGGATCGCCAAGGCCATCAGCGCCGGCGCATTCTGGGGCTCAATCGTCTGCCCGGCCCTCATCTGGGGCATCTCATCGGGACCGTGCAAGCGCTACTCGGCCATGGTGCCCGACATGGTGCGCAAGTCGCTCCACAACAAGCGCGCCACCCACGTCGGCGACGGCACCAACCGCTGGATCCACGTCCACATCGACGAGTGCGTCGACCTCATCCTCGCCCTCGTCGCCGACCACCTCTCCAACCCCTCGGGCGCCGGCCGCGACCACGCCCTGTTTGGCAGCTTCTTTTTCGCCTCGCACCGGGACCTCGTCGACTTCAAGACGATTGCGCGCGCCATCGGACGCGTCCTGGCGCGCCGCGGTATCGTCGAGACCGACGAGCCCATCAGCGTGCCCGCGCCGCCGTTTGACGCACAGCAAAAGGGCGTGCGCATCGAAGACGGCCAGAGGAGCCAGGAAGACCAAGAGACCGACCGAAAGACGCCCATCTGGCCGTGCAGGACAAACTGCCGCTGCATCGCCAGCCGCGGACCCGCCGAGCTGGGCTGGAAGTGCACCCGCGCCTACGACGACGCCGCCATCGAGCAAGACGTCGAGGGCGCCCTCGACCTCATCCTCGCCGAGTCGTCAACGTGAGCCGTCATCGTCGAAGGGGTGCGTATGGGCGGGAGTCGAATAGAGGGCAGCGAAGACGCAATGCCAGGCGGAATCAGACCCAGAGCAAGAGCGGGTGTGAGACCGAGAGCGAGAGCGGGTGTGAGACCGAGAGCGAGAGCGGGTGTGAGACCGAGAGCGAGAGCGGGTGTGAGACCGAGATCGAGGCCGATTTCCGGAAATGTAGTCGAGTTTGCATTGCACGACATCGATAGGGCACCGTCGCATAGCAGGTCGAGGCGGGTTGCACTGATTTGGCCGAGAGACGGCATCACTTTTGTTGGCCCATCATCTTTGCGCTGTTCGAGGGGCGAGGGGCGAAGGGGCATTGAGGCCAGAGAGGAAGAGAGGGCGGGGTCAGAACCTGACACAGGGCCAGACGAATTCGAGTCGGCCGTCAAGAGGGAGAAGGGAGGAGCGTCTCACTTTTCCTCTGTGAAGCGTGCGCCGACGCGTTCGCTGTGCTTGAGGAACTTGAGGGTGCAGTTTGTCACGCACGTCTCCTGTGTCGATAGAGGGGAGTGGTGGTGGGGTCAGAGGAGAGACGATTCGATGCATATCCTCGAGCCGCGGAGCCGATGGGGGAGGGGGCAAGGGAGGCTCACCTCCTTTGTCGAGAGGGCCTTTGAGGTAAAGTCGTTGCAGCACGACTCAAAGCACCGCTCGACGAGACCCGTGTAGAGGCGCATAAAGTCCTTCATCTGCTTCTGCTCGATCACGCGGTGCATCGCCTGCTGCTCGGACGAGGAAAAGTTGGAGACTGTCCGAGCAGAGGCGAGAGGGGGATGTCAGTGCGGAGAAAAAGAGAGGCGCGGGCGGTGAGTTTCGATGGTGATGCGCCGCGGAGGATGCGGCGCGGAGACCGAGCGGGAATGCTTGTGTGGTTGGATTGCTTACAGTCCATTTTGTCGAAGATATGCGTGCGAGTGGAAGGAGATGGGTGGGCAGTGAGCGGGTCAACGGATGATGGTGGTGAGTGGGTCGGGTGTAGGCCGGGCAAAAGTAGTGGACCTGTTGAGCGACCTCACTCGGAATGCGGGATTCGGAAAGGGCCGAGGAACGCCATCGGATCGGGCAGCCTGGCGTTGAGCCGTGATCGACCCGAGTCCAAGTCGACTCAGAGCAGAGTCAGACGAGGCCCGCCAGACCTCTTGCTCCACTTTTTTGGGCAGCCGTCGTCGAGTCCCGATGGCCGAGAGCGGCTGCGCTGGGCGCTGGGAGCTGGGCGGCCGGTGCGGGCGGGGGCGGGCGGGAAATTTTCTTCGTGGCTCAGCCGGCCAACCTCGCTCCCTCGCCCCGCGCTGCCTCGCCCGGACATCTTTGTGCATGGCGCATTGCCCGCCCGCTATAAAGTCCACTACCACCACCACCACCATCACCGCCATCACCGAGCCTCGTCCAACACACACACACACACACACACACACACACACACACACACACACACACACACACACACACACACACACACACACACACACACACACACAAACACCGCGCCTCGCCTCGCCGCTATCACTCTTGCACACAGACACCTCGCAGCCAACGCCCACCGCCTTCTCACAGCCACCGGGACATCTACCAACCTCGACCCAACCCCGCCGACCTAAGCTCCCACACCCGCCGACTCCGCACTCACAATGGCCGTGCGCTGTCAGTTTGAGAACTCGTCCGAGATTGGCGTCTTTGCGCGCTTGACCAACGCCTACTGCCTCGTCGCCATCGGCGGCAGCGCCAACTTCTACTCTACCTTTGAGGCCGAGCTGGCCGACGTCATCCCCGTCGTCCACTGCTCCATCGCCGGCACCCGCCTCGTCGGCCGCCTCACCGTCGGAAACCGCCACGGCCTCCTCGTCCCCTCGACCACCACCGACCAGGAACTCCAGCACCTCCGCAACAGCCTACCGGACAGCGTCGCCATCCAGAGGGTAGAGGAGAGGTTGAGCGCCCTCGGAAACGTCATCGCCTGCAACGGTGCGTTCTGCCTTCTTCCCAGAGCTCCCTCCGGCATCGGCGGCCACCCCCACGAACGGCGACGACGACGACTGTCCATCTCACCCTTGTTTTCCAAAACCCCTCTGTCACCCCTCCTTACCCCCCTTTTCCTCCCCGCGACTACAGACTACGTGGCCATCGTCCACCCAGACCTCGACCGCGAGACCGAGGAAATCATCTCGGACGTGCTCAAGGTCGAAGTGTTCCGGCAGACGGTGGGCGACAATGTCCTCGTCGGCTCCTACTCGGCCATCTCCAACCAGGGCGCCCTCACCCACCCAAAGACGTCGCTCCAGGACCAGGACGAGCTCTCGTCGCTCCTCCAGGTGCCCCTCGTCGCGGGCACCGTCAACCGCGGCTCGGACCTCATCGGCGCCGGGTTGGTCGTAAACGACTTTGCCGCCTTTTGCGGCATGGACGCCACCGCCACCGAAATCTCCGTCATCGAGAGCGTCTTTAGGCTCAATGGCGGACAGCAGACGGGTGAGGTCGTCAATGAGCTCCGCGACGCACTCGTCGACACCTATGCATAGGCCCCCCCCCCCTTCTCCGCCATCATTAGACTTTTTTGCGTTTGTCCCAGTCCTCGCTTGGCTCCCTCTCTCGTCGCAACGGCCTGCCCCGCCCCATTCGTAATTCGATGCACGAATACCCACGCAACTACCACCACCACCGGCACGCCACCAGCATCGCCATCGTCCTCTTCGACCTGGCCGGCCCGTCACCCATGCTCGAAGTGGTCCGCCGGCAATGACAGGAAAGACGATGCCCGTCGGTAGCGACGACGGCGATGGCGACAACGGCGATGGCGACAACGGCGATGGCGACAACGGCGATGGCGACAACGGCGATGGCGACGACGACAGTCAGTTTCGTGCTGCGCTCTTGTCCTTCCTGGTTTTCGTCTATGCACTCAAAAAGAAGCTGGTGGGATACAGCGGGAGCGGCAGGTGCGCCGCCGCTACAACTCGACGTGTTCCGTCTTTGGCGCCGTCGAGCCAGGAGCCGAATCGGAACCCAAGCCCGAGCCCGAGCCCGAGCTCGAGCTGGCGCTGGCGGGGGGGAAGCAGACGGCCGGCGTCGAGACCTTGACCGAGTAGATGCACTTTTCCGCCTCAAAGACGTCGAGCAACGCATTGGTCGTGTCGCAGACGAGATCCACCTGTCGTGTGACGGCGAGCAGCAGCAGCAGCGGGCGGAAATGAGAGGAAGCGGGGGGAAGAGCAAGGCAGGGTAAGGCACGGGCAGGGCAGGGCGCGAAGTCAGGATCGAGTACCGCCCCTCGACGACCTCGGCGGGCAGTCGGAAGCGCTCACCACCGCACACTCACGATTGCGCTGCGCACAGGGCCGTTCCAGCATCGCTGGCCGTTGGCGTAGATCTGGTGTCGCCAGTAGTCGTCCTGGTCGGGCGTAGCGTTGCCCGCCGGGTTCCAGTTGGCAAAGTTGCTGCAGCGAAAGACGATGCAGACGGCGCGGGCGAGCGAGGGTGGCCAGCAGAGGTCAGCAAAGCATGCCCTGTCGGAAAAGTCGGGAGGGCAAACGGACAGTCGGGCAAGCCAGGCAGGCATGGGCATGGCACAGCACGGGAGCATGGGAGCACGCCGGCCTCTCCCCCTGCGGAAACTCACCCGAGCGTCACCTGGGCGCCGTACTTGTTCGGAATCTGCTTGATGCGGCCAAAGAAGCAGTACTCGTACGTGTACTCGCCCAGATCCTTCTGAACGCACTTGTTCTCGAGCGCGCGGAACTCGAGCTGGCGGCCGTACTTTTCGCCAAAGTGGTCGAGCTTGTTGCGGTACGACGACAGGTCGCCCTCGATGCGGCGGAGCTGGTTGCCGGCGTCGGCGTGGGCGCGCCTGGCCTCGGCCACATTGTCCGGCTCCGCGCCGTCGCCGCTGCCTCCGGCGCCCTTTGGCCGCATGCGCTTGACGTCCTTGATGACGTTGGCCTTGATGAGCACGTCGAGCAGCGTGTCGACCATGGCCTCGAAGTAGGGCACCACCGGGTCGGGAAGGTACTCGTGGATGCGGAAGAGGAGGCCGTTGTCGGCGTCGGACACGGCGCCCGGGTCGCCCGAGCCGCCCAGCCCGCCGTCCATGAGCTCGAGGACGCTGGCCGAGGCGAGCTGGTGCACCTTGTCGGCGGACCAGTCGCCGTCGTCGAACAGCTCGCGCACCTTGACGTTGTCGGCGTTGATGTCGGCGTCCTTGTCGACCTCGACGCCCTGCTCGTCGGCCTCGGCCTTGGCGGCGGCGGCGGCGGCGGCCGACGTGTCAATGCCGCGCCACTGCTTGTATGCGACGACGGCGCCCTTGACGGCCATGTCCTGGTAGTTTGGGTTGTAGCCGCGCGCCAGGTCGTCGAGGAGGAGCGTGAGGGTCTTGAGCTCCTCTTTGAGCTTGGCGTTCTTGTCGAGCAGCGCCTTCATGGCCGACTGGTGGTCGGTGAGCGTTGCGTACAGAGCTGCGAAAAGGGGTGCGCGGCGGCGAGACGGGGGGAGCAGGGGCGGCGGCGGCGGCGGCGGCGGCATGAGTGAGTTAGTTGCCTGGCCAAGCCGGGCATGCATGTATACCGTCGAGCGGACCGGTACTCACGGGTCTTTAGCTTTGCCTCGATGACGGCCTTGTCCATCGACTCTGCGGCCTCGAGGGCCTGCTTGAGGCGGTGCTCCCTTTCGCGCGCCACCTCGATTTCGACTTCGAGCTTGGCCACCTCGCTCTCGAGGCTCTCGCGCTCCTTTCTACCGTCGGCGATGTACTTTTCGCGGATCTTTGCGCCGGCCCTGCGCACGTTTTCGAGCTCTGCCATGCGTTTTCGGTGCTCCTTGCCCACCTTTGCGCAGCGGTCGGGGCAGTGTACCTTGCCGTCGGTCTCGTCGGAGCCGTCGCAGCACTCTGGGTCGCAGATGCCGTCGTTTACGCGGCTGGAGCGGATGCGGGCTGGGATGTGGCCGTTGTTGTGGCAGTAGAAGGAGGCGTTGGGGCAGGCCGAGGTGCCCGGCTCGTCGCTGCCGTCGGGGCAGTCGCAGTAGTCGTCGTTGACGGCGGACCACTTGATGTCTTTGGAGCCGTCGAGGCACTTCCACCGCTGCTGACCCGTGGCGGGGGTCGTGTAGGGCACGTAACGGTGGGCGTCGCTGGGCGCCACGCCGCGGACGTTTTGGGCATGGCCGGACGAGGACGAGGCGGACGACGACGAGGATGAGGAGGCGGTGGCCGAAGAGAGCGAGAGGACGCCGGCGGCGAGGGCCAGGTTGAGCTTGACCATGGCGGGCGCGGCGAGGGGCGAGGAGCGAGGCGTGAGGGTAGGAACGGGGCCCGAGGGGGGAAGATGCCAGCGAGGCAGTTGGGGGATGGTGGTGATGGACAGAGGGACGTGCAGAGGGAGAGAGCCATGAGAGAGCGGGCTCGGGCCACCTTTGGGGCTGCGTGCCGTCCGTCGCCTGAGGGTGGGCCTGGCTGGCCTGGCTGGCTGGCCTGGCTGGGCTGCCCGCCTTCTGGCTGTCACGTTGCTCTGCTCTCGCCCGAGTGGACTGTTTGGCAGACCATTGTGGAGAGGCTGGGCCCGGCCAGGCCTGCCCGACTGGCGCGGCGAGGCGCGCTGGGTTGCAGCGGGTGTTGGTCTCGGTCCTCGTACCAGCAACCACCTTCGCCCCCCCTTTCCACCAACTTCATCCTACCTCCCTCACCGCCTCGCCGCAAGTCACACCCAGCGCACACCTGATTGGTTCATACACCCGCCCTCGACACGCTGCCACCCGTCCCCATGGCGAGCCCCAGCATCGGCGGGCCAACCAGCCCAAACGGCTTCTCGGCCATGACCTCGCCACTGCCTTCCTCGCACCCTCAGCTCGGCTCCTCGTCGACCCGCCCCTCTGCACCACCCTCATCCGCCGACGGAAGCGCCAGCCTCGACAGCGCACCGCCATCCGCATCAGCACCGCCCAGCAGAACAAGGTGCGCACCCGACGTCCCCCTCCCCATCCCCGCGACCCCCAGCACCCATCTGACTCTGACTGGTTCCTCGCCCTTTTGGATCCGCCCGGCACAGATTCGATCCGCAGGGGGCGCTCCAGTCGCAGCTATCCCACATCCTATCCAGCCGGTTAAAGACGGAACGCTGGGACAAGCAGGACAAGGCAAAGAACCGCGCACTCAGCAGAGGCGTCGCCGAAACCGTAAAGGCAAGGATGCTCGGTGAGTGGGCCAGGCCCGCATCGCTCCCCATCTCGCAGTCCTTCGTTCCCATTGAGGACTACATGCAGCATCGATCCGACCACAACCGCTCACCGTTCCCACTCCTCGCTATGCCCTGGCGCTCTGCAGACATCGAGCCAAAAGGTGAGCTCGCCCGGGCCGCATGCACCTCGGTCCGTGCCCCCCCCCCCCCCCCCCGGCCCCGCCGCTCACCATGCGCCGCCCTCATTTGCCGCCCTGTCTCCTTTCAGGATTCAAGTTCATCGTGCAAGTGCAGCTCGTCGAGAACCTGGGCCAAGGCGGAAGGTGAGAGGGTTCCCTCCAGCGTCGTCCGGTTGACTGCTGCCGTTTGCGAGTACCCGCTGACCGGCTTGATCGTACTTTTTGTCGTCCGCGCCTGTTTACTCATCGGCAGAGGTGCGTTGTCTGGTGGCTAACCGGATCGCTGCGGAGACGAGGACAGTGACTGACCCCGCCCTCGTCCTGCTGTCCCTTGTTACTCCGTCCTCAGCCGACCTGGCATGCCACTGGGAGGATACCGACAGCGTGATTCAGGAGATGTTTGCCAACGTGAGTCGAACAGCCGGCGACCGCCTCACCTCTGGCCGCGGGCAAGTCTTCTGACCGTTGCCGTCGTCGTCGCGTCTTTGTCTATGCTGTTTACCCCCCTCGGACTGGGTCGGCAGGATGCGTTGATCTGTACCGTCCTGTGTTTTGCGATACGAACATGAGATGCGGTAATGGCGCTTTCCCGGCCGCTCGAGTGGCTGCGACCCGGCGACGGAAGGAATCCGCGTCCGCCGGGGATGATGAATGCGGACGAACGAGCGTGTCTTTGTGATGCAGGTGGGGTCTAGAGATACAGGTGACGACGAAGAGAGGCGAGGCGTCGTGGAGCGGGCCGCGTTCCTCTGGGGCAGGGAAACGATGGGGGATGGGAAAGAGGGGGTTGTCCGAAGGCCATCAGGCGTCTTCGAGGTTGCGATCGAGAAAGTCGCGGAGCAGCGAGACGATGTGGGTCTTGATGTGCGTTGGTAGCGTCTCTGTTGGCACGGAGGGGATGAGGGGGTTGTGAATGGGAGGGAAAGGAGAAGACATGACGTTGAGATGGCGGCGATGCAGACGAAGGGGGAGCAGGGGGGGTCGCCGGGTCGTTTGGAGGGCCAGATGCGACGCACCTTTGGCGTGTGGTGTGAGCGAGGCCATGAGGTCGTGGATGGATAGCGTCTGCTGCGACTTTGCCAGTTCTACCGCGGTCGAGGGAGGAAGCGAGAGAAGGGGGCCGGTGAGCGAGCAGGAAAGGTGGGGAGAGAGAGGGAGGGGTCGGTGGGCGGGGGATGCGTACCGAGGGCGTGTCCATTGAGGTCACCCTCCCAGCCGCTATCGTCGAGCATGCGCTTCAGCAGTGTCGACAGGCTGTCCCGTCCATCCGCGAGCGGGGCAAACAACGCGGAGTCAGAGGATGAACTGTGAGGAAGCCTGGGGGACGAGCCAGAGAGGGCGACGACGTACCGAGCCCACTCGCCCGTAGCCACCAGACGCTGGTGGAGGGCGTTGTAGAGGTCGTCGTTTGAGATCTCGCCTTCCTCCATGGTCGTCGATGTTGGGATGGCGTGGAGCAGGGAGGGCCGTCGCACGAGGGGTGTGTAGGGATGAGGATGCGGTGCGAGGAGGTCGAGGTAGCGTCACACGCAGAGGGCAGGGACGGTGGGCTTCTCCACACGCTACGCCGCGCGGGAAGGGCGAGGCTGTCCTCGGAAGTCGGAGGTGTCAGGCACAACCTCGGAAGGCGGCCAAAGGGGGCGGGCAGCTCACAGGTGGAAAACCTTGAATTTGGCACTCGAACTGACCCTCCTCCTCGCCCTTCCCCCTCCTCCACCATCCCATCCTGATCCCCTAACCCTTCTGGACACATCCTACGCTCTCTCCCCGGCACCCGCCCATCTCCCTTCCACTCCCTCTCTCCGCCACACGGCGCCACGCATCACACCGGCAATGACGGCGCGACCGCAATACGTCATCGAGCACCTCGAGGACCTCGACGTCGACTCGCCCTCAACCTTCCCGCAGTGGGCGCTGCTCGAGTACACCCACATGCTCGAGCTCGTCGGCTCCGGCTCCACCGTCCATTTCACCTCGCTCTCTCCGCGCAACATCGACTCGCTCCGCACCCTCCTCACCTCATCGTCGTCGTCGAGCAGCGCGGGCAGGGCCAACTTTGAGCTGCACACCCAGGGCATCCTCTCGCTCATCGAGTCTGTCAACGTGCCGCTCGAACAGGTGTGCCTGCTCGATCCAAAGGGCCCGCTACCCGTCTCTTCCAACGATGCACCCCGCGAGACCGCAGCACAGGACGGGACGACGACGGCGAAGCAGGAGGGGTTCAGGTTCTTTCTCTTTGGCGGCATCCTCGGCGACGACCCGCCGCGCGACCGCACCGCCATCCTGCGCCAGATGGGCTTTCCCGGCCGTCACCTCGGCCCCGTGCAGATGACGACCGATACCGCCGTCGGCGTCACCAAGCGCGTCGTCGAGGACGGAATGCTCATGGGCCTCGACGACGAACCGCAGAGGCAGGGCGCACAAAAGATCAAGTGGGTCCAGTACCCCGAACTCAAATTCGGTCGCGGCGAGAGCGTGAGTGCACCTCTATCCTCTTTGGTCCCTCCCCCGTCGTCGTCGTCGTCGTTGTCGTTGTCGGTGTTTCTTTTCGGCGCTGCCGGCTTCATTCGATCTGATCACCCATCAACGTCCCCCTCCGCTCCTCGCTGCCCGTCGCTCCTCCCACCACCCTCATCCGACCGTACCCGCACACCGCAGGTCGAGATGCCCTTTAGGTACATGGTGGATCCCGTCCGATCCGAAAAGTCCGGGACCGACGAGCCATTGATGCCAGAGGGGATGCGCGAACTCATCAAGCGCGACCTCGACCGCAGCTTCGAGTTCTGATCTGAGCATCCTCGGCCGACATCGACATCGACATCGACATCGACATCGACATCGACATCGACATCGACATCGACCCCGACCCGGACCGATCCAACCCACGGCCGACGGCGGACACGACTACCCCCCTACTCCTTGGGCAACTTCCGACGGCAGGAAAAGGAAATGGGGACAGAAAGACGGCCGGACCGCACCGCCATCGCAGTCACGGCAAAACATCCGACCGACGGGCAAGAGATCGAGTGGGAATGTGCTAGTGTTGAGACTACGTAATACATTGACGACAGCGGCGTGCAGGGAGAAGGTAGGCGCGGAGACGAGGTCCCAGTCTGGAAGCGCGCCGGGGGGGGAACGTCTAAGGACGGCGGAGGGGGCGAGACGACGAGAGGGGAGAAAGAGGATGGGGTATGTTGAACGACCCTGGTGAGTACGCGGGAGAGGATGGGGTGGGGCGGTACGGGGGCATTGCTGGCCCGCCCGACCGGACCACAGGGGTGTCACGGCGGCAAGGGCGAGCATCTAACTGCGAGGTCCACCGACCGACCGACTGACCGACCGACCGACCGACCGACCGACCAACCGACGGGGGGGAATCGCACGGCGGTCTCATCGCTTGCGAATGAGGCTGAGGAACTCCTCCCTGGTCTTTTGGCGGTCGCGGAATACGCCGAGCATGCAGCTCGTCACGGTCGACGCGCCGGGCTTCTGGACGCCGCGCATGGCCATGCACAGGTGCTCGCACTCGACGACGACGGCCACGCCCTGCGGCCGCAGCGCCTCGTCGAGCGCCAGCGCCACCTGCTTGGTCAGGCGCTCCTGCACCTGCAGCCGCCGCGCAAACGTCTCGGCGATCCGCGCCAGCTTCGACAGCCCAATCACCAGCCGGTTGGGAATGTACCCAATGTGGATCTGCCGCAGATCAACCCCGCCCCAGCGGGTTCCAGTGGCAAGCAAACGAGATGGCATGGCGGATGTCAGCAAAAACGGGCCATCCTCGACATTTCGCGCCGCACCGCGCCGCACCGCCGCCGCCGCCGAGACCCACCTTGCCGGTGAAGGGCACCATGTGGTGCTCGCAGAGGCTGAAGATGTCGATATCGCGCACAATCACCATCTCGTCGTGCTCCTCGTCAAAGATCGCGTTGGCGATGACGTCTGCGGTGGGGACGGGGGGCCAGTGTAAGGCACGGCTTGGATTCAGCACTCATCGTCGACGCCAGGTCGCCCGTCCACTGCTCGCTCTGGCGTTGAGACTTACCGCTCAGGCGCACCTCGTAGCCACGCGTCATCCAGAGGAGCGCCTTTGCGTACCTCTCGGGCGTCTGCTTGATGCCGTTGCGCTCCGGGTCCTCGCCGAGGCACTCGAGCACCGTGCGCACCGCCTCGGACAGCCGCTTCTCGTTGGCGGCCGCCTGGGCAGGCGTGTAGTTGAGCCGGTCGAGGGTGGCCTTGGCCGGCCAGCCGAGTCCGTCCTTGTCCATGACGGGCGTCTGGGTGCCGCTGGCCTGCCACGACGCGCCCATGTAGGTCTTTTCGCCGGTGGGCGTCCCCAGGCCGCCGCCCCGCGTCTGCGAGACAATCTCGGGTCCCAGTAGGCCGGCGGGGCCCCGTTGTTGAGGTTGGAGAGGTGCATGCGGGAGCCCGAGGCGAGCGAGTGCGAGGAGCTCTGGCGCGAGAGGAGCGCCGTGGCGGCCGCCTTGGCGTGCGAGTAGGTGGGCGCGGCAGCGGCGGCGGCGAGCGGCT